TCTCTGCTCCTCTCCCTCTTCATCATCTGGACCTCTCTGCTCCTCTCTCTCTTCATCATCTGGTCCTCTCTGCTCCTCTCCCTCTTCATCATCTGGTCCTCTCTGCTTTGTGATGATTAACTCACCATGTCTGCCTGAACTAATTTTCCCAAAAAAGAAGACAATGAAATATGGTCATCAGAAATTAAAACCATCATGGTATATAGGTTTTTGTTGCCTCCCTAATGTAATTATTCCTACCTGATGTCATCACTTGTCTCCTCTATCACTGACCTCGTGTCTGTCTCCTTCACCTTTTGTCTGTGGCATTCTGCACTAAGTCATAAGGTCAAAAAAGCATTATATATTAGTTGTAAAAATGACAGATCTTAATACAGTTTTTAAAAATAATGTTTACACGTTATTGCTTGGGATTAAGTAACTGTTCCCTCACTTCCACCTGCATTAGACCAACCTGTTGCCTTCCCCAGTCTGTCCTGATTCTTCCTCTGTCATCTTCTCTTCCTTCTCTCCATCCTCACAGCTGAATGACATTAATTTTGTGTCAAGTAGGTTTAAAAATACAGCAGTCAAACCACAATAGAAATGAAACTTGAATTTAAATGATCTCCTTGTTGGATAACAGTTACTGACTGGACATTTCATCTGATCTGACTCACCAGATACATCACAACACACACCACTGTAGTGATACTGAATAAGACATTTAAACTCAAGTGTCCCTCTGCCAAAAAGGTTGGAAACATGGGTCACCAACCTTTTTGAGCTATAGTGACACTGAGGACTAATTTATCTGATACACACATAAACTTGTACAACTCATCTTTAATTAAAGAATCAATAATAATAAATGTACATATGAGTGAATAAATTGCAGCACTGAGGGCTAAGCGTTGGATCATAGCTGGGAACTGCCGCCACAACAGTTTAGCTTTCCTGTGTTAATATTTCATGAGTTTTATTTTGGTCATTCTTACACTTAGTGTGTGGATATGTGTGTGTGACAGGCGAGGCGCATGTATCAAATATTCATAAAAATACAGAAAATACTAAACAAATCACATCAATAGGGGAGGCAACATTTAACAGCCAACCGCAGTGTATTAGGCTAGCTTTAGCTAACCTGAATATTTAAACCCTCCTGTCCTGCTAATACACTGACAGTACTTACCTACTATCTTTCAACCACATTGAAAGGCTTTTTTTCATCCCGCCAACATCTTTATCCTTCTCCCTTTTCCTTTTTCTGTTTTGCGCCCCGGATAGCTTTTTTTTATGCCGCTCCATCTTGTTGTCAAGTGCACAACGAGCGGTAGTTCAAGATTAAAAAAAAACAAAAAAACGCGCCGAGTGCGTTCTCTTAGGGGCGTGTTCACAGCCACCTGTGTGGGAAGGGAGAGCGATAGGAGGGGAGGTGAAGCAGCAGAGGGGAGGTGAAGGAGCAGAGGGGCGCGTAATCAGTGCTGTTCCCCTGTTATTGATCATTTAGAAAATGCCTACTAGAAAAACATTTTTTCTACAGAGGGTTTTGACGCCCCCTGCAGTGCAGCGCCCCTATGCGTTGCATACGCTGCATACCCGCTTTTTGCGCCACTGGATGCATCTCTATAATGCACAACAAATGTTGAATTTGGCGCATTACAGCTGTGCGCTCTATGTAACACGTCAACGCCCGCACCGGACAGAGAAGATGGAAAAACGCTTCTTCTTCTGATTAGTGGGGGGGAGGGAAAACCCCTCCAACGATATCACTCTTGATTTAAAAGAGCTCGTGATGTTTTAGGCATAAAGCTGGATTGGGTCTTAAATCAGCTGAGCTGCCGTCAGCCTGAATTCTGAGACATGACGGAGCGGCAGAGAGGGCAGATAAATCACTCACCCTCTTAGCGGATGTTAAAGCCAGCAGCAGGGCTGTTTTCGGAGACAAGAATTTAAGTGGAACCTGATCCAGAGGCTCAAATGGAGCTTTGATCAGGGCTCGCAGGACCATCGTTAAAACCCACTGTGGAGCAAGTGGGTGTGAAACAGGCCTGCGTCTCTGTACACCTTTTAGAAAACGCTTCATCAGCGGATGATTAAAAGCTGTTCTGTCTCCGAACCCTTCGTGGCAGGAAGAGATGGCTGCAACGTACGTACTGACCTCAAACCAGTTTTATGTGGTTATTGTGAATGAGTTGAATAAAGTTCGATGCATCCGTTTTGTTTCACTTTATGCATTTTATAATCTGAAAAACATGGTAAGTGTCTCTTCCCATTTGTGGAGAACTAAAACCAACAGGGCCTGTTTTACAGGAACGTCCATGTTTGTGGAGCAGGAGCCTGAGTTTTTGTCAATGGTCTTTCTCGTTGCTACTCTCCCACAAAGATCAGACTGGTGAAGAACTTTGGCAACAGTTGCTGCATGCTCGGTCTCTCCTGCTCTTGGTAGATTTACACACGTCCCAGATTCCTTCAGTTTCTTCATGATGGATTAAACAGAACTGATGATGTTGAAGATCTTGGAAATCCATCTAATAATCTTTTCTCTGAGTTGAATTAAAACAATCACTTCAAAGAGGGTGAATATTTATGCCGTCAATTGTTTTATAAAGATTCATTTATGCTGACCATGATTGATTCCTGACACATCAGACAGTGAATACTTCAGCTTTTTCAGTGGATATTTGTGATAAAAGTTGTAAATACTACCCGTCTTTATTTTCACATGACAGCTGCTGCAGCTTTGATGAACATGTATGTTAAAGAAATCAGTTTGCACAGTGGTTCCAGACCCGTATCCTCTCATCGTGGTCCTCAGGGCCACGTGGGTGTCGCATCTGTCGCTACAGCAGAGTCCAGGAGGAGCCTCCCTGTGAAGGTTCAGGGGCCCGGGCCACTGTCCATCCCAGCTCCCGCCTCGAGGACAGACAAGCTTCTGTGAACTTTACCACAACCACTTCACTGTGCTGAAGAGGTCCAGACTGGTTCTTGAGGGATAAGACACCCAGTTCGTCTGCAGAAATAATTAATTAGTCATAAGTCTACACATTTATGGAACTTGTGAAGGATATCAAAATAATATTGTTAGACCACTGAGCCTGCGATACTGTACATGTAAAAATAAAACAGCAATTTATTTTGAGTGCAATGCTAAGTCAGCAACAAGATCTTTGTGTCAGTATCACACTCTCCTTTGACGTGAACTTTTTGAACCAGTCTGTGCTGCAACTAAAGAAATCATTTGGTCACGTTTTGCCCGTTCTCCAGTTTGTGTTTCATGATTCTGCCTGGTTAATGCCCATCACTTCAGCTCCCATCTCCCTGCACACCTCCTGTCCAGGGTGTCCCCCGTCTCTCACACTGATTGATGGATATGGGCACCACTTCCTAACACTCTCCAGCAGCTGTCATTGATGAGAAACTAATGCTTCACATGTTCCAGCAGAAACATCTGGAAAATATCACATGAACACACGTGTGTAGGGTGTACTAAAACAACTGCAACACTAAATGATAAATTGCGTCATGCTCTTCAATGACTCCAGAAGACAAATGACTTGCAAATGTCACATTTGAACATTTCACTGCACTTTGTCCATTACTGACTACTGTGGGGGGGCAGCAAAGAACACTGCAGGAACCCTGTCCTGCACTGGCTGCTGGGCCCAGTCCTGTAGCGTTCACTTACCATCAGGAAACTCAAACAATTGTTCCACTTCAAACATTTCTTAAGTTCTTTCAAAGTAAAACTGTTTTGAAATTAACTTAAAAGTTTTATTGCAACAGTAACAAGCTTCTGTCTCTTGGTTTGTGGGTTAGGATTGTTTCAGAGCCACTGCTGCAGACAGAAGGGTGAACAAACATCAACGTCGTCCCAGTTTCCTTTTGTTTTGCATGATGAGTTCAATGTGGTGGCCCACCCACCTGCAGTCAGGTCCACCTGCACCACCACAGCTCCATGGCTGTTTAAAACCATCAGCTAAGAAACAGGTTTTGTTTTTGGATGGCAGGAACAGAGAGAACATCCACCGCCTCACAAAAACATCTGGATGTTTCTGCTGTGAAGAGACATCTATCTGTAAAAAGTCTATTCAAACAGGACTTTATTAAAGTTTACACAAAAAGGTTTATTTCATTCATTTTCATTCAAAAATGTGCTTATACTGTAGTGAACAATTGTTTTATAACGCATATTTCATTGATTACTCAGCATTGAAGGGGAAAATAATGACAAAACTAGGCACAGAGAATTGAACAAACTATTTAAAACAGTCTTTTACATAAAATGTCAGGATTGAAAAAGGATGAACCCCTTCACATTATGAAATAAACTGAATCTGTTGAGTTTTTATTGCTAAACGAAGTTCAAATGAATTCTGACTGAAGTGATCAGACGTCAAACACGTGAATAAATGTAAAAAAAAAAAAAAAAAAAAAAAAAAAAGAATTACAGCTGGACTTTATCAGACGCTGCTGATTCCTGGAGGGTTTATTCTTCTCAGATCTAGTTTTGTTTTCCCCTACTCAGCACCATTGGAAGTAAAATAAAGCATCTATGAGAACACATTTAATCAACTATGATTACAACTACAGCATGCATAAAACAACACAATGCAAAGGTACATGAAACACTTCAAATATCAAAAGTTAATACAATCAACACTTCAGCTAATGGCGTTTTGCTTTGCAAAGTAAAGACACTCCTGCGCTGTGTGATGGAAATTTGACAAACATTTCCAGTTTGCAAAAATAAAAATAGACATATCCTGCATAGACCGATGCTTTAGGTCCATTTCTGTAGTGTCTCAGATGTCTGACAGCACCACCAGCAGACTCCACCTTAACTTCACTCCTTTTAGACAACTTGAACAAGTTGGTTCTGATTTCCTCAAACACTATCAGCTCATTTCTGTTTGTCCTAAACTACTAAATAACTACCACTGAAGGATTGAAGCTGCTGAATTCAGGCTGTCCATTCGAGCTTCACCCTGCTGGACGAGCTGCTGAAAACGCTAGTCCTTTCATCATTTCTCCCCGTGGGACGACTTCAGCCAAGAAAACAGTAAACTAGCTCAGACTAACTAGTCTCAACCTGCAGCTTCTCTTCACTTTAAAGACTTGAAACAGAATCACTCACAAGAAAAACAAACATCTTAAAACCCACGTTAAAAATGACACTTTCCTTCTCTGAAGTAACATCTCGTTCTTGAGTTGAGCCGCTTGATCTCAAGTCAAACTTGAAACAATAAACTACGTTATTTTGGTTTTTCACGTGGAGAAAGAAATACAAAACGCAGTGTATGAATATTTGGACAAATGAAAACAGATAAAACCATGTTTTATAGCTGAAACACACTAAAAAAAGATAGAAAAATAGTACTATTATAGTTGGCAGCAGAGTGGCTGGGCTCAGAGGAGGTGGTGTTCAGGTGGAGTGGATCACATGATGGAGCAGTTTCTCTTGGCAGCATGAGGGCCTCCCTGAGAAGCAAAGAGGCATAAGGTCTTAAATTTATAGAATAAATAAATAAACAGCTGCAGGCTTAAATCTTCCCATCTGCATGATGAACGCTGCGGTGTGTGGTTTGAAGACAGGTCATGGTTGAAGACGCAGGTGTATAAGTTGCAGTTTTTTGCAGATTTGTCAATCCTGCAACTTATGAATATGGAAAAAAAAAATGTACAACACATTTTTTGACTGATGTTTTGAATTTCTAAGAACTGCAATAGCGAGCCGTCCCGTGCCGCTCGCTTCACTCAGCTGGTGCAGGTGGGAAGAACGCTGGAGAGCTAGCAGCTCCGGCTGCGATGGATGGATGGTGCCGCCCAGAAGAAATGAAGCCGTTTAGACCATTAAACGCAACGGTTCAACGGTGACGCATAAAAAAAAAAAAAAAGTGACTTGTATGTCGAAGCGACTTATACAGACCCTTTCCAAAAAATTAGAATATCATGGAAAAGTTGTATCTTCCATAATTCCATTCAAAAAGTTGATCTTTAATAGACGATAGATTCAGAGACCACAATTTAAATTATTTCAAGTATTTGTTTATTTTTACATAATTTGAGCTTTCAGCTCATGAAACCCACAAAAACAGGATTTCAACAAATTAGAATACTGTGGAGACATCAGCCCACACTTCTCAGTTTTTACAGGAAAAAAGAAATAAATTAGGATGACAACAAATCAATCAAAATATGGTACTTTCAAAACGATACATCAATCTTCAACACTTGGTTGGAAATCCCTTTGTCTTAATCACTGCCTCCATGTGACGTGGCATTGACTGGGAGTTATGGAAGCCCAGATTTCCTTGATGCTGTCAGCTCTTCTTTGTTGTTGGGTCTGGTGTCGCTCATGTTCCTCTTGAGAAGACCCCATAGATTCTCAATGGGGTTTAGGTCCAGTGAGTTGGCTGGTCAGTCAAGCTCTGTGGCATCAAACCAGGTTTTGGTGCTTCTGGCAGCATGGGCAGGGGCCAGGTCCTGCTGGAAGATGAACTCTGCATCTCCATACAGATCCTCAGCAGAAGGAATCATGAAGTCCTCTAAAACATTCTGGTAGACTGTTGTGGTGACCTTGGATTTAAGAAAGCAGAGTTTACCAACACCTGCACCAGATATTGCACCCCAAATTATGACTGACTGGATATTTCACACTGGACCTTAACCAGTATGGGTTCTGTTCCTCACGCTTCTTCCTCCAAACCCTTGGACCTTGATTTTCGAATGAAAGACACTTTACTTTGATCGGAAAAGAGGACCGAGGAACCCAACAGTTGTACTCCATCTCCTGGATGTGTCTGAATGTGGTGGTTTTTGAAGCAGTGACTCCCGCCTCGTTCCACTTTTTCTGGATCTCTGCCAGATTCTGGATCTTCTCTGTTTGATAATCCGCTGATGTCCACGGTCATCTCTTTTGCAGGTGCATCTACTCCTGCCACATTTTGCCCTTCCACTAGACTTTCCATTTATGTGTTTGGACACAGCACTCTGTGAACAGCCAGCCTCCTTAGCTATGAACTTTTGTGTCTTACCCATCCTATGGAGGGCATCAATGATGGTCTTCTGGTCAGTTATGTCTGCAGTCTTCACCATATTGAACCAAACTGAGACAATTGAACCAAACTGAAGCGATTTAACGACACCTGAGGAAACCTGTGCAGGTACTTTGAGTTAGTGTCACACTCAGTTTAAAACATTCATGCCCTGCAACATTTGGGCTCATTTCTTGACACTGTTCTAATTTTTTTTTATTATTATCCTGTTTTCATGGGTTTCATGAGCTGGAAGCCCAAATTATGTAAAAATAAACAAATAAATACTTGAAATCGTTTAAATTGTGGGCCCTGAATCTATCATCTATTAAATATTAACATCCATAAGTCCATTCAAAAAGTTCAACAACTTTTCCATGATATTCTAATTTTTTGGAAAGGGTCCGTATGAGTTTTCCTCTTCATGATGCTTTTTATTTTGACTGATGCAATCCAGAGCGACTTACACACGGGAAACAACAGTAACTGGTTCTTAGGATACAGGAACATTTAAGGCTTAATAATACGGGATTCACCAGTTTTTAGTTTGGTTTTTACATTTTGTAAAGCTAAGATCTACTAAATCTAACTTTGAACAGTTCTGATTTCGTGATAATATAATAAACGACAGAGAGAATATACATTTTACTGAATTTAAGAGGTATTTTAGACATTACTAAAAATCTAAATTGAACCGTTCAAGAACGACACAGACAGAATACGGAGTACACTCAACGTAAACTGGATAACATGAACTGTTAGATGAGGAGCTTCATGTCAGCTCGATCCAATTTGTTGAAGAGGAGTGTCCTGATGTTCATTTTAGCTCTTAACACACTGAACACATAAATGATGCAAACAACTAAAACATCAACACCTTGAAACAAATATAGAAATCTGCAGTCATTTTGTTAAGACACTGAACGCAGCAGCGTGGACTGTCCACTGAAGCTGGTTTACTTCTGTGACGAACTCGTGCTTGTGCTTATAAAAAGTGGTATTTAAATATTAGTTACACCGATTAAGAAAACCCTTTGATTGTGTATTTATAAGATATTTAGCCAAGTGCCAATTCTCCTGCACCAAACAAGTTCGTCACATTTTCTATTTACAGATTTAAAAAAACCAAATCTGCTCAGGATCTAAGACAAAAAAACTCACCTGCTGTTGGAACAGCTCTTCCTCAACGACCTCGACTTCATCATCTTCCTCTACCTGCTCTACTGTCGTCTTATACGTGGTGATCCTTTTGGCCACTTCCTGTAGAAATTAAAAATAAAAAAAGTGCTGCTTTACATCCAAATCAAGGTTTGAGCCATAAACGACTGGTGGAAGAGAAGTGGAGGAGGAGAGTGATGACAAGTGACCGTGTACTCAACACTCACTTCTCCCTGTGGGTTCATCAGAACCACACAGACGTCTTCCCCCGACCCCCAGGACGACTGGCTCTTCCACACCAGATCTGTGGGAGGTTTGGAGCTCACACCAGCATCAGATGCCCAAATCTGCACGCAGTAAACACAGAGCTGCAGTCCCCCCACACAACACATCATCACACTGACAAAAACTTAATTCTGGAAATAATTAAAGCGTAAACGAGCACAAATTAAAGCTCTTGCATGAGTTTTTCCAAAATTATTTTCATTTTGAACTCCTGAGCTCCGAAGAGACACCCAGAGATCAGGATGTTAGAAGACAAGCTCGTACCGTGACTTTCTGCCCAGCTTTCAGGACAAACTTGGGTGTAAACTTATAGGTGGCTGCAGCACCTCCAATGGTCTTCACCATCTCGTACCCCACCATGGCCTGGTCCTGACACAAAGTTTGCACAGAGTCTTAAAAATCCTGCAACTTGAAACGTGTAGAAGCTGAAGTCCAGGTGCTTACTTCATCTCCAGTGTTGTCAAGGCAGATGAACTTGCCGTCGGTGTCGATCTCATTAACGCAGACGGATCCTGTGGCTGAGGCAGAGTGGGCGATGGACACCGAGCTGCTGGCTTCCTGCTCCTCTACGTCGATGCGCTTCCTCTTTCCGTGAGTGGTGCGAACGCTGCGACTGCTGGACGAGGCTCGAGACACGGTGACACGAGACGAAGGACTCGGAGACAGCTTCAGTCTGGGGGAGGGAAGGACCAGTTAGCTTTCAATGACCTGCATTTCAGATGGCCTGATTGATGTCATCTGTGGTTCGTTACCTTTCTTCCTCTCCTTCCAGGAGTTTGCGGTAAGCATTGATCTCCATGTCCAAGGCCAGCTTCACATCCAGCAGCTGCTCGTACTCACTCAGCTGCTGCTGCATCTTGGCTCGAACCTCTGACACCTCACGGTCTTTGTCTGCCAGAAGTTTGCGGCTCATGTCTTTCTCATGCACCAAAGCTGCCTCGAGCTCTGCGATACGATCTCGCCATCCACGAGTCTGAAAGTACACATGAAGATCAGGATCTCAGAAGCAATTTGACACAACAGGTACAGGACAAGCCCAAGAGGACATTTCTGACTGGCCTGAAAAACTACAGTCTCTTTCACACACTTTCAAGCCTGGTCTGAGGTCTGTCTACTGGTGTACTGTCACCAGCGACTGAGGTAGTCACAGAGCTGAGTTGGTGAGTATGCATCAAACGGGGAGTGAACAAGTACAATGCTACACTGCAGCAGTGCTGCCGTCTCTGCTGGTTTCATGTGTGAAAGCACACGTTTGCAGGGTGCAGCCAGTTTGCCTGCTTTGTGTGAACAACCAAAGGAGCTCGTCTTTGCAACTCTACACCAGAACTGTGAGCAGTGCAAGCCATTCATTTAAATTTAATGGTTGCAAAAAGGCCAATCTGGCCGTTTCAGGGAAAGCTAAAATAAATATATGATTTTAAAGATGTTAGTTAAAAAGGAGCAAAAAATGCATCATCATCTACACCCTCATCAAATTGTTTATACAATTATGAATACTACAGTAAAACATTTTTTTATATAAAATTAACCTGTATATTGTGGATTGCACTTTTGTACGAGTATAAAAAACATATATAGTATAAGAAAATATGACATTTGAGCTATACTAAACCAGAATTTTTACAGAGTCATGATATTATCAGAAGCCACAAGAAAGATCATTTGACCCAGACAGGAAAGTCTTCACAAGTGCAGGTTTTTGTGAACACTGCCACCTAAAAACACATCCTCAAAATAAACAGAAACTTGGTAGATGGGATGAGACTCAACCTCCTTCTGTAGTCCTGTCAGCTGGGCGGAGAGGCTCTCAATCCTCAGGGCAGACTCTCTCAGATCCTCTCGGGCCATGCTGGCTGAAGCTCCGTTCATCTCAGATAGATGATGCAAGTCTTCCAGCTGGGGACAACAGATGAAAAGTCAGCGTCATACTCCTCACAGCTCCAAAAGAGGAACTGAGATGTGCAAGCCACTTCCTGATGAGCAGGAAGTTAGTAAAGTCTTGTCCGTTCTTACAACTGCAACTTGTAGTTTTACTTCAGATGGGTGTGAACCTGCGTAATTGTAGGTAAACGTTAATAAAACTGGTCATTTTTTTAAATGTACACGTTTAATACATTAATAAAAATAAACAGAACGTTAAAATGTCAAAATGCAACATCCATCTTGAAGTTGCAGGCCTCCGTCAACCAATCACACAACAGTCTGTTTAATAATGTCAAGACTTGCATTTTGTTGACCATCTAGCATCATCACATCATTTGTGTGAAACTGAGTCAGCACATTTCTGATTAACAGCTCGAGCCTGTGTTTGATGCCAACATTACTCTCATCAGGTCTTCAAAGCTTTTTCACAACAAATACGACTGGAAACCCAGAACACCTTCAACAGCAACTTAATGGGAGCCCATAGTTTAGTAGAACAAAGTGAACATTTGTCCTTTTAGACACATGTAACACTTTGCTCATGCCATGAGACATGTTGGATAACAGCAGAGGAACACACAAGTCGATGTTTTTCTGTTTCCCTCTGCAGAGGTTGCAACAGCGAGTGAGTTCGCACCAAAGATTTGGTCACCGTTTCACACCAGGAGCTTTTTCTGCCACAACCTGGACTTGAACTCTCATTCTCAGGATCACAAGACCGAGACACGGACCAACAAGCTAACGCGGACCCCAACACTAAAGTCTCAATATTTGTACAAAATAAAACTTTGACATTTACTCATCACTCTAAAGGATGTAAGAACTGCATACAGTACCACTAAAACAAAGGTGCAGAGATAGTTGTTGGACCTAAATTTAGTTATATTGGGTTTTTGAAGAGGAACTGAAAACAACTGGTGGTTCATTTTTAGCTCTGGTTGCAGCTAAAGAAATAGAAACTAATATTTTAGCTGACTGTAATCTGGCAGTGAAAGAGCGTTTATAGGCCTGCAGAGCTTGAAATCACGTTGGCCGCTTGTAAAAAAAATAAAAAATAAAAACTGATTTTAATTAAAAGTCAAATAAAAAAATGGATCCCATTCACGTTTAAAAAAATAGAAAGAAAAGTAATTTGGGTCACATGGGTCATTTCAACATGCGTGTGTGTCAGTCATACTTTGGCTTTATAGGTGGACTCCAGGTTGTCCTTGTAGATCTTGATCTGCTCCTCATTCTGAGTCCTCATGTCAACCAGCGCTTGTGTCAGTTTATATTCATACTCCTCCTTCCGTCCAGAGTCCACCTCCACCAGCCGGGTTTCGTACCGCTGCCGGGCCTCCTTCACTTCCTGCAGAACAGCGCGGTTGGTTATTGCTCGGTGTTTAAAGTTTGTGACTTTAGCAACTCACTTTGTTTTGTTGCAACTTTATTGTTTTTGCTGGAGAATACAAAGCAGAAGCTAAAAACGGTTTTAACCTCTCATTAATAATCTGAACAACTTTGATAATTCCTTACTTTTCAGGCTCTAGGGAAAATTTATAAAATAGTTGAAATGGCTAAAAATCTCACTGACACTACGACTTCCACCAGACCTTTTTAGTTTGTTGACGCTGACTTGAGAAGTCATATCCTCACCTCTGCATGCATGCTCTTTCTGAAGTCCATTTCCTCCATCTGACTCTGACAACGGTTCTCAAGGTCAATACGCAGAAGCATCTCATCTGCGAGCTGCTTCTTGGCCTGAGCAAGACCTGTATCCAACTAACACCAAAGACAGAAACAACTTAGGAACGTGAAAATTATAGTTAAACAGAAAATCTGTTTGCAAAGAAGTGGACATTTAATCGAGAGCATCTGTTTTTGTCTTTTTACATCCTGAAGTTGTTCTTGCAGTTCAGCGAGCATTGCTTCCAGACCCCTCTTCTCAGACAGCGCTGTAGCCAACATGGCCTCTTTGGAGTTCAGCTGAGCCTCCAAGTCCTTCAGTCGGGCCTGAGCTGCTGCTGCGTCAGCATCCTTCTTGTTGTAGCTGGTAAGGAAAAATAAATCACAGTAAATAGAGGTTGCACCTTTTACTTATTCTCAAGTAAAACCAAACTGTTACGATCAAATAAAATTAAAACACTTCCATTCTTTTTGTGTCAAGATATTTCTAGCTTCAGTTACTAAAAAAAAACCAAGAGGTCATTAATTTAAACAAACCAGAGCGCCCTCTGCTGGATCACAAGACAAACTACTGATGACTACAGCCGAGAAAGCCCACATGGTTTGGGTGCAGGTATGTGACGTCACTGTTGCCACTACACTCAGCTGACTGACACTTTGGGAAGGTTGGCTGCACAGAACCTCCTCTGCTGGGGGGCTCTGAAACCTCACAGGTTGTCAGTATGGTTTGCACATGTTGAAAATAATAAGTAGTAAACAAGTCTGGACGACATTTTTTAAACATATCAAACACTTGTTACACCCTGAGCTACAATTTACAAGAGATTGTGATTTATGAGACCAACAAGGGGAGGATGCAGGAGATTATCCAACGTGCAAACTGGAGTACAGAGTTAGAGCAATATTAAACTGGGAGCCACAAGTTGGTTAAAGCAATTCAAAAGCTTTGAGTCTTTACGAAATCAATTTTTAACATTTATTAGGAGGATCCACAGTGTTGTTCTTTTACATTTCCTCTATACACACACACACAAAAGAAAAAACTCTCCAGGAGAAGAAAAACTAAAGGTTTAGGATTATTGAAGTGTACTCGGACCAACCAAGCGCAGACGTTCAGGTCCTATTTTTCTGTTCAGCGTCTTGATTCAAGCTCAGACTCCGCTCCTCGTCTCAGTAACAACAGCACACAGTAACCAGCTGCTACAAACATCCTGACGTCTTTACGTATGAAAGATGGAGGCTGAAGAGGAGAAGTCACTGGGTACATGAACGGCTGATCTTCTAGTACAAAGTAAAGAAAATGTTTGGGAAGCACTGCTCTAAGAACTACTTTGCTTTCAGCATATATTTATTTAAATAGACAAACAGAAAAAAGCCCCATCAGAACTAACTGGGTTTGGGATTAAAGTGATTTCTTAGATTAGCTGCAGCTGAGCAGAATGATTTTCTCACTCCGGGTCCAGGGATTACCATGGGTGGGTGAGCCATCTGCTGGAGTGAGAGAACTATGAGAGGAATGCAGTTCGTCTAGTTTTCACATTTTACTGAGAAACATCCGATGACAGAAACAAACACTGATTCTACGAGTTCTCACTTCACAGGAACACTTCAACATGAACATACCTGAGCCGACACACAGCTAATACCCGACATGCCTAAAGACAACCGTATATCAGCTGTGGCTGAGTGGTTAGAGCAGTATTCCTCTAATGGGAGAGCTGGGAGTTCGATTCCACCAGCAGTCACATGCTGAAGTGTCCCTGGGCAAGACTCTGAACCCTTCATTGCTTCCGACGTGTGTCCAGTCAGTGTATGATCTGAAGCACTGATTAGTCTCTACACAATCAGATTAGCTTTGTAGAGATCTACCATAGTAGAGTGATGTGTGTGTGTGGAGGTAAATGAGGGCACAGATTGTAAAGAGCTTCGAGTATCTTGATTAGATAGAAAGGTGCTACACAAGTACAGTCCATTTACCATAAGACAACCTCTTCAGATTTAAAACAAGATCACAGCAGTAACTGGGTGACCTTCTAATAATGGTTTAGGTTGTAAAAGAACACACAAATAAAGTTACCCAGAAAACTAAGTTTATTCATGATTTAATGGGTATTTTACTCAAGATCTATAGCTCTGTTCTACAAGCTCCTCATATACTCTTAAACAACTGGTAAATTAAATACCTGAACACTTTTCCATGTAGGTGAACAAATGTGTTCCTTCAGAGAAGATTGCACTTATCTCAACATTTATTTGAGATATGATGTCACTGTAGTGACAGGATAACCCATGCCTGTTTTGATACGTGGGGTGGAGCACAGAGAGCTGTTGTGTTTGTTAATCACATCATATCCAGTGACGCTGGTTAAGAGCCCAGCTGAAATCACCCATCAAGAGAAACACGTGCTTTAGATCTTGTGTTAGCGGTGGTTGGCTCCATAGAAGAGATTTGCATGCAGGACAGTTGCTGCTCAAAATGCAGCTGTCTTGACATAATCAAGAACTTCACATGAGGCTCATTGTGGTAAAGAAGGCTTCAGGACATTCAAGATAATGTAATCCGTGTATTTTCCAGCATGATGGAGGATAAAACAAAGTAGCTCAACAAATGCAACACCGAAGCTTTGGACCCCAGGTCAGAACCCCCCAAATCTTAACCTCTTTGAGAACCTGTGGTCAAGTCTCTAAAGCTGGAGGATAACCAGAAACCAAGGAAGTGTGAGAAGTCCAACAATAAAAAATGGATCAGTCAGGATTTGGCCCTGAACTTGAACTTACCACAAGAAAAGTTGCCAACTCTAAATATTAACTTTGCTTAAATTTGATGCGTTTGCTAATAAAGTTTTTTTATGCTTTAAATTGTTTCTCACTACAACTTATAGGCATAACAATAATTTTTAAAAATCTAGAGCCTTACAACTATATTTCTGACACTATAAAAAGCCTTTGGCCACTACAATAAACTGTATGAGTGGTAATTTAGAGAACAAACGTGTTAAATAAAACGTCATTGTTGAATACTGATTGTTGAACTGGTGTTAAGCTGAATGAAGCGTTGGACCCGGGACAGTGCTCTGTGCTTCAGTGAATGATGTGGACACAGAGTTTAGTTTGTCCACTCGTATAATGAACAGCCTACGGCAGGCTCGACACCGAGCTGTAGATATCAATATATTAGTTTTAGGTCATAACGCTCAGTCCAACCAACAGTTGAGCAATGTGAGGGGTTCTTGTAGCAGCGGTGGTTAAAGTAAAGAAATAAATTAAATGCCTAGCATGAAGATCGTCTACGCTTACGAAATAATGAACGAGATGTTGCTTTCAGGAATATGTCTCAACTACCACATCAATGGCTCAATATCTAAAATCAGCCGAGTTATAACCATTTCTGTGGTGTACGACATAGTGAATCAGATCAGTTAATCAGGTTAGGTACAGATGAACATTTATTAACTACTTTCTGAAAGTAGTTTGTGAGGTGGTTTGTTTACAAGCAGGGTTGAGTCCAACAGTTTTACATCAAGATGTTCACAGTGAGTACACGTTGGGAATGACTCTGATACAATCACCCAATTTTAGCACAAAATACAGTATGCGAGTCTGACTGAATAAAAAGTTATTTTATTATTCGTAAGGCCAGTAGGCTAAGGCTCCATCCTGAATTAGGTTGGCCACATTTAATCAGCTGGATATGAATTAGGGCTGGACAATAATTCGATATCGATATATATCACGATATACTTTTATTCAATAACGGTGATATGAGTTTTAAGCACATTTTTGATATTTCGATAGGATTACAGCATTTCACCGACGCATTTATTTTTTCTGTTTGGGTTGAAGCAGCCGCTTCAGTTTCAACCCGGACAGAAAAAGGTGTGACACAACTACGCAAGTGCGCGGTGACGTAGATGTTACGCAGAGCTCGAGTCCAGAAGGTGCTAGTGGTAGCAGGCTAGGCTAATCCAACATGTGTTAAGTTTTCTCTTGAAAAGGAGCGCCCACGACAGTCAGAATGTGACTGAACAAACTTTCACAAGCAAAGAGAAAGAAGATGACATCACTGATTAGAGAGGAACAACTCATTCGGAGGTGTGGAAGTGGTTCGGCTTTCTAAGATCCGATAAACTGCAGGTTTGTGCTGCAAAATGTGACGGAGAGTCGCTCCAACTAGCAGTGGGAACATTAACTTGTTCCACGTTTTCACTCGATAGAACATGTTGAGTGACAAGATGAAGCTCAGTAAAGTTTGAGACAACGTGTCCCTGAAACAACAACCCCCCAGCTGTATCAACAGAGAAATCCATGCAGCAAACACACACGTCTGCTACATGGGTTACGTTGTTGTTTAAAGTTGAAACTATTAATATTGGCAGAGTTTTATGTTTATTTGATGGCGATTTCAAAATTCTTTCAAGGCTAAACACTAGGGGTGCGCCGATTTCCTTAATTTTGGGAAATCGGACGATACTTGCACGAGAAACAGATTTTTTAAGTTTTAACAACAATTGTCTGAACTTCGTTTATATTTCAGAGCTCTACCTCATGGCCAGTTAAAACAAGTTTGTCTTGTTTCTAGGTTATTGTTCAAAAGTATTTCAATAAATAATACTGGAAAATTGAAGGTGCAGTGTGACCTTGTGTCGCTTATCAAACAAAAATCGGCAGGTCAGACTTTTTAAGAAATCAGTGATCGGTACACCCCTATAAATACAAATAAAAAGGTGAACATTCATTTATATGTACAGTTTTTCTGAGGCTTTTATATCGTTTATATCGATATCAGAATTATATCGTTATCAACTGAAATGGAGAAATATATTGTGATAAAAGTTTTGGCCATATCGTCCAGCCCTAATATGAATATATACAATATTTATTTATTAGAAATGTCATAAAAATCCATGCAGCGGTTCATGAGACATTTTGTGAACAGAGTCGACTCTGAATAATCCCTGGTAAACAAATCTTGCGCAATCTTTCAGCGCTCAGAATGTGTGTTAGGGATGACTTTCAGCTACCACCACATAAAATTAAAATCAATCTCTTTCAAATTGACCAAGCTAAAACCTTGTGTGTGTATTTTTTTTTTTAAGTAAACTGGCTGTGTGAGCCATTTAAAATCATAATGACTTTAGTGGTACCTTCGACTACTTTCCCAATGGTTTATTACAATTCCTCCAGCAGTTCATGACATTTTGGTGGAATAGATGCAAAAACTTTATCATCCACCTTCGCCTTTAGGCAGTGGGTAACATTGAAAAAGGGTTGCGTGTGTGTTTCAACCCACAATCCAAAGCAGGCAAACCACACAGCATGTCACTGACACATGGCTTCAGCTGCCAAAGTTAATGAGCACATAATACTTCCTCTGTCTGACACAGCAGCTGCACACCTGCCTCCACAGGCGTCCTGCACATCACCGAGTACAAACTACACTACCCAGAGACGACCACAACACCAAGAAACACACGTGTTTATAACGTGTTGTAGTCACTGGGGTGCATTTTATTTCAGAAGAGAATCTGCAGATGGTTCTCCATACAGGACAGGAAGCCACAGTTCTTTTAAATGGATTGTTTTATTATTAGACTGAGACGTTTTAATATAAAATATAGCTTCCGGCAGTTTGTGCAAATGCACTTTTATTACTCGGATAAGAACATAATTACACCGCAGCGTGATGATGTAAGAGAAAAACAACCGGTTTAAATGAGAATCGTTGCATTTTCCCGCCTGAAAGCCTGGGGGAGTGAATACAAGTCAAACCCGAGCCGTTCCAGTCTGGGCCGAGCCCGGATGACGCGCCCGGCTCAGACCAGACGTGATGGCTCGAAAATCAAAGACTTAGCCAGGCTAAGCTGCGCAGTGTTCTAGTGTCCGTGCACTGGTGATTAAAGCTGAACAAGGTCTTACTTTTGCTGAAGCAGCTCGTGCTCGGACTTGATCTTGCCCAGCTCGATCTGCAGCCAGGCCCGCTCCTTGGACGAGTCGTCCAGAGACCTCCTGGCGTCGGCTAGCTCCGTCTCGTACAGCGCCTTCACTCCGCTCAGCTCGCGACTCCGAACCTCTTCCTTCTCGCTGATTTGCAGATGCAGCACTTGGTTCTCAGACTCCAAACTTCGGACTTTATCGATGTAAACGGCCAGGCGGTCGTTGAGGTCCCTGAGCTGCTGCTTCTCCTGCAGTCTGGTGATCCTGGTCGGGCTCAGCGGAGTGCTGCTGCCGCACGTGCCTCTCTGGCCGGTTGGAGTTGCAGCCACAGACGCCATTGTTGAAGAGAGGCTAAACAGACCGCGCGAACAAACAAAGATGTTTGTAAGGTGTGTCGACTGGTTCCAGCGCTCCGCAGCAGCCCGTACTTTAGACACCAGTCCTGGGAGTGAATCCTGTCTTTTCTTAACCGAATGAAAGAGGGGTTTGGCTTCCTAATATGGCGGCTTATTGAAAATGTGACGTTGTGCGTCACTAACCAATAGGAGAGCTCGACGCGTGCGTCCTTTCAATTTTGACTTTTGGGTACGTTGGAAAACAATACCAGCGTATGCCGGAACATTCAAGAGCAGGAGGAATGAGTTTTCTTACACAGTTGTTACATAAACATTTAGATTACAGCAAAGTAAAACACAATATATTATATTACGGTAAATTATATTGCAACAATAAATACATTACATTATAGTATTATGTACATATTGTAGATTATCTATTGTTGATGTCTGTTTCTTTTTGTTTTGTCGGAGCATCCGGGTACTTATAACAAACGATGCCTTAAATTTTCAATAACGGCTGAAAATGATTCATTCCATTGTGTCCAGCTGATGTACAATAATAATAACAATAATAATAATAATAATGAAATGGATCGTTTTTATAACTTTGCAAACGTGTAACTCCTTTCAAAAATTATATTTAAAAACAAGATGAAACAGCTCTATTCTGCGTTGCAGTAGCGTTTAAAATTTAACTACAACTAAAACAGCTCAGTTTTCAGAAGTGAAAAAATGTACAGGTTTTTTTTTTTTAGTTTGTTTTGTTTAAAAGTGTTAACATTTTTATGTTTGTTTGTAAAAATCACATCTGATCTGACAAGGAAAGAGAGCTCTTTTAGCCTTAATATTTAAAAAGACATAATCTGTCCTTTGTGAAAAGCCCTGGTGACTCAGAGCGCTCAAAATCTGGCATATTCTATTGTAATTTGGTACAAGTATGTTACAGAGTAAAGAAAGAAAATTAGTGACACAATGAACAGAGGAAACAAACAAAAAATGATAATTTTCAAGAAAATAAATTGTTTTTTTAGTGTTTACACCACATCTCAGGCCCAAACTCATCTTCCACACTTCTTCACTTTTTGGTCCTGCACTTCTCCACCCTCCACACTTTGAGCCAGTATTTCTCAGTCCTCTATAACTCAGGCCTATACCTGGACCTACCATTCTGTGCTCGTCTGTCTCTCCTTCCTGTCGTCTCAAACCAGCCGGTCAAAGCAGATGGCTGCTTGTCCTGAGCCTGGTTCTGCAGGAGGTTTCTTTCTTTTAAAAAGGGAGTTTTTTCTTTCCACTGTTGCCACTGTGCTTGCTCAGGATGGGAGACTGCAACGAAGCCAAGATTCAACTTGTCTGCTGGATTCCTTAGAGATCTTTACTAATTGGCTTTTATGTATGTGAATGTTCCTGTAAAGTGCCCTGAGACAACTTTGTTGTGATTTGGCGCTATATAAATAAACAGAATTGAATTGAAAATCTACTTTAACCGTCAAAAATCACATTTTTGGATCATTAAAAGCACCTAAGCTGAGAAGCTAAGCTACAAGCTAAGCTAACAGGTCGACCTCAGGAAAAAACCTCCGTCTTGTCAAAGCTCCAAAATTCACAGTTGAAACCCGTGTCTTCGTGTAAAAAGTTGTTTTTCTCTGCAAAAAGAAGCTGGGAACTTGTTTACTGATTATTTTATGAAAAGCTTTGTGTGGAAAAATGCTATGCTAAAGAGCTCAAACCACACAGAGCGTCCACCATTTTGAGAAATGAAAAAAGGAAAGAGAGACAGCCCATGTCAAATCAAGGGGCCTCCCTCCCATTTTTCTTAAAAATACATGCTGCTCGCTCCCTCACTATCCATCCTTCAGTTCAAACAGTCTTATACTGTCATACAGTGGTCAAAAAGGTACTACACTCAAAATTAACCTTCATCCCCCCCCACCCCCCTCTCCTGTCTGGCATTGTGACACTTAGAATTATTGTCTGAGTGTCAAAGTGATGCCCAACAGATTTACTTTCACAAGCAGAGCATTATGGCTGGCCTTAATGCTTCACTTGATATATAAATTAATTTTTTTTTTTTTATATTTGTTTTGGGTTTGTTTCAGATTTAATGGACACGGGGACGGAAAACAAAGAAGATAACAAAGCAGAAAAGTGAGAGAAGTGTTAAAAGGTAAAGAAGGAGATAGGAATAGAGGAGAGAGAGAGAGAAAGAGAGGTATAAAGAGAACACAGATCAACATCATTGAAGTCTGACTGTAGACCTGAGGAAAGAAAACCCAAAAACAAGACAAAACTGAGAAACAACAACAACAAACAACTTATATAATGATACTTATAACATCATTAGAAAGTATTTTATACAGTACATGGTAATACAAGATATAGTTAGTGGCCACCACAACCCAACTGAGTGTGTATCTGATAAACACCTGAATCTAAACACCTGTGTGAGCATGCTGTCACTATAAAGTTTCTCCATAAAAATGTTCAATAGTGGATGTGGGGACCCACAGACCTGTCCCCACAGGATACGATGGTAACACAGAGAAGACCGGAGCCACTGACACACAGCAGTCCCCAAGCCCAGAACTCCAGGAGTCCACCAACAGGGACACCCGCACCCCCCAGAGAGAGAAGCAAAGGAAAGCCCCGGATGATCACAGCAACCACAATGCAGAAACCCCAGGAGGCTGCAGTGACGAGTCCACAGGCCCCGCCAGCAACCCGCCTCTCCAGAGTAGATCCGGCCATGGACACTGAGCCCTGAGTCCCAAGGTCATACCACCCCCCAACAGAGGCCTGACAGAGCCAGGGCACCCAGACTCCGGCAGGCAGCCACCAGGGAGGGCCCGCACACACCCCACCACCCAGCCCCAGCTGCTGAGAGCCGCCAATGCACCGGCAGCAGGGGGGCCCACCACCGGAAGGGAGCACGACACACAAAATGGGGGGGGGGGGGGGGGGGGGGGCAAAATTGATCCAAGAGAGGGGACCACCAGAAACCCAACCCGAGACATAAACAGGCACATAAAGACAGCCCGACAGAGCCTCTGTTGGTCTGTCCATGCACCCCACCCACCCGACAGCGACCGCAAGTCGGCCTCAGGCCGGGGGCCAGAGCAGCAGGGAGCAGCAGCTGAGGAAGGCCGGCCCAGCGCACCAATGATCAGGCATCCCTACAGCTCCACACCACAGGCCCGGAGAGGCCCCAGCACGCCACCCATGCACCCCCCCCAAATGTCAAACGGAGAACGAGGGTTTAAGGAAGAAAAAAACAAATTATATATGTATATATACACATATACATATATAAATAATTAACAGGAAGACCCAACTCCTCCCTCCTCCCACTCAAATAAGGTGTTGATGCATGTTGTTATACTGTACATTTTATTTTTTGGAGACCCTCCATAGAGGTATGAAATTATGTATGCACACTACACACCACTGCAGTCAATGTTTTTTTCTGTGCTTGCATGAATAGAGTAACAAGTGACAATGGTGGATAGCAGAGTGCTGTTTGTGCTGCTCCCCTTTTTCAACATGTAGGAAGGGAAGTCTGAGATTGTCATCATTGTATGTTCCCAATGGCGAAATTAGTTCTCTGCAGTGGGCAGGTATGCGCCCATAGAGCAATTAGGGATTAGGTGTCTTGTTCAGAGACACCACGACATGTGAGAATGGCTGGGAGTGGAACCGCGACTTTCTGGTCCCAAGTCGGCTGTCATATGTCTACACCATAGCAGCCTAACCTTTTCTTTGGTCCAAAACAACTTTCTTGTATATATCATTTTGGATGTAATTGTTTTCATGCTAGAGACAGCATGCTCATCTTGTTGAAAGCCAGACATCAGTGTTGCCAGATATACAATATTGATTGTTTTTATAAGATAGTTTTAGAGTCAAGCCCCACACTTTATATGCACAAATGTTTGCCAGTCACAACAAACACTTCATCTTACAACCTCCCCTCTGTGAGAAAGTGTACCCTCACTCAGCACATACAATCATTTTAAAGTGACAGTGCGATAGATCATCATTTCTTATTTGGCAACTTTGCCTGGCTTGAAAACAACATTGGCTACAGCAAGCACATCCTTAGGGTTAAAAACAGTTTTCATTTTGTTGATTTGTCACAATAAACATTGAAAACATCCTGTATTCAGAAACTGCTCATGTGTAAACAAAGACTTAGAACGAAAGTTTCTCTTAGACAATTCACACACATGTAACGTGCCTCACAGGCATGCTGTCACCGATGCATGTTCTATCTGCTTGTGCCAAAAATTTAAGAAACTGTACAGTTTACATTGGACAATCATTTTAAAGACAGGTTATTTGTTATGTTGTATGAGGTTAACTGTGGTTCTGTTTGCTTATAAGATGTTCAAGCTCGCAAGAAAACATTTTGTTTACCTAAAAAAGTTAAATCTGGTCCTCTGGACATTCAAAAAAACAAAACAAAGCAAAACAACAAAAAAATGTAGAAACGTTTCGTCTCTCATCCGAGAGACTTCCTCAGTCTGAGGTGCTGTTTTCAGCTCAGTCTCTTAAATAGCACCTTCTCAGAGTGGATCAACCAGTTTGCTGCTGACAACCAAAACCAGCTGATCACATGATCAAGAAGGACCATCAGCCTAACAATGGATCATTAGCACACTGATGGCTGTTTACTGTTCACAGAGGGCTGAGTGATACTAGCAATCACAGCATTGTAAGA